CATGCACATATTTAGCCCCTTTTTATTCATTTCATACAAAATGCAGGCATTGCAAGAGTGGCTATGGCTTCATTTACAAAGTTCTCAAAGAATATATGACTGTTTGCAAGTCATATATTGGGCAGTCAACAGGTTGCCCTGCAATGAATCTCGAAGCATGTAAGAGGAAGTGAAAGAGACTGACAAAAATAAAAGCATCAGCTCCAAAATAGCATATCCACCCTCAGCTGCTGCTTCTGCAGTGCTTTGGAGAACTCTCTGGACATGTTACACTTGTGCACTCTGAAGGTTACAGATGTTGATGATAATCAGTCAGTGTTAGAGGCTTTAGTATTACTGCCTTAAATACTCTACAAACTTAACCCACTTACTAGCTCACAAAGCATATGGTGACAACTTTCAAAAATTAACCAGAAAAGGAAAGCATTGTTTTTCCAGGAGTGACTTTGTCAGCCATCAGACATATTCCAGAGCAGAAAGGCGGCTTTTCATCGATCCATAATGATTCATATTTTGACAACTGGAATCGCACCCATTGCTACCGAGTCATTTGTATGCATCGTTTGTGTTGTTAATGTTTTCACAGTGCTATTAGTGGCAATTCTTTGGAACATTTTGTGGGTTTGGAGCAGATTCTAATGTGATGACATATCAGGCACCGACATATAGTATCATCGTTTGAAACCTTAAAGGAGTGCTTTTTACCTGATAATTTGGTAGCATCCACAGCTCTTTCCCACTGTCATTTGCAAAAGCGTGATGGCATTATACCTTGCCTGAAGATAGCCTATTAGAAATACCTGTACATATTGGTTAGAAGCCATTTGGCAAAACAAATGTAATTACAGAGGTGCTGTAGGAAATGGACTTTATGACATAATTACCCACATAGACATGGTCTGTCACTGTAGTGTAAGCCTCCGGATGAAAACTAGTTCTCCAGTATAAAGCATCTACTAATCCAAAAAAGCTTACTAAATTCCAAAGCTTTAGATTACAACAGACCTAATATTCCATATATCCTTGCCCTTCCCACTGATTTCTACCAACAGTTGTTTTGTGTGAGGACCTAGCTAGGCTCATCCAGCTGACAGTTATTGGAACTACAGTGCCACAGTTTTGTTTTGCCTTGTGGACTTTAAATCGGGACACGCTACAGCACTGTTAAATGAAGCTGCAGCAGTACAACTTAACCCAAAAACATTAGCAACAGAATGGCTGAGGTATCACACATCTCTAATGGGACTGCAAGTGCATTTGTAACATAAAAAAATTCCAGGAATGCAGAATGTTAGCTCCAGCACAGCTGTTCTAATGAGCTCATTTGGACAGTGGTGAGTAGGGAAAACTATGATTTTACCTGCAGGGGACCATGTTGGATATTTGCAGAAGCTACTTGTAAGAAGTTCCATTTTTCAACCAATCAGAGTGCAAAGCATGCCTTGCTGCTGCTGACATGAGCCAGGACCTTGGCAGATATCATTAAAGTTCACTCAGACGTAAGGTGCTAGAAAAACAAAATTTGCCATTAGTTGACATTTTCTGTAGCAATTTTCAACCAGAAAGTGACAGCTGTTCTGCTAGTGCAACAGTAAGTTAGTCCTATGTGTTCTGCAAGGCCAGTATTTAACAAGCTGAAGTCCCTTATCAATTCACTTTAGCCATGCGCTCAGCCCTGAACTTTATGCGTTTATTTTCGCAGCAATCTCCCTATACCTGTACCTGTCTCATTAAGGAGGCCAGCTGTACCCAGATTGCTTCCACTTTGAAAGCTCCAGCATTTCTGACTGGTTCTTTGCTGATGCAACTGGCACCTTGAAATCACCATGATAAACCCACAAAAGGGGACTACCAGTTTTCCTGGGCACTTGGACATCTTGCATTCCTCATGCATTTAAGAGCTTTAATACCCTAAGGCATACAAAGCATTACAGTACCAGGAACAAACCCCCAGCCAGTTCAGTGGATGGCTCTCTGCCATGCTATTCCCATGCTTGCACAGTGCATTAACATGCAAATCCAGAATATCACATATGCTAATGTCTACTAAAAAGACTTTTCATTTCAGGATCTCAGCTTAATGAACAAATGGAATCCTGCAGCATTGCTGTGGGGAAAATGATTGCATAGCACAAGTGATCAAGGAAGACCTTCAGTGATCTGTCAGAATGAATAAACACAAGTGAATGGTAAACGAAGGAATATGGCTAGAGAGAAGAAAACCGGCTGTGGTAATTCTCCCTGTCCACCTCAGCTTCAGCAGCAAAAATAGTGCAATCAGTGTATGATCTGCGACCCTTTGGCTCTGTAATGGCCCACTGCTTTGGTGAAGCAACCCCAACCTGTTTTGTTATACCTTGAGCTACTACTCAACTCTCAAGCATCAAGCAGCGTAGATGGTACAAGCACAGTGACTTCAGGGTCCATACATCTGTTATTCCTGTAACTGCTGCAAAAGCACAGAGGCTGGGTTGGCAGATGAATGATTTGCCTTTAAGGAGAAATAGGTCAGATATCAGAAAGTAAAAACAGAAACAGATGCAGTCTTTTTTCCCCAACAGACTGGTACTTTGCTCAAACATACCACAGTACCTGAAGGCACAGCTCCTTGAGAGCAATTCCCCATATATTATGAAAGACAAGATTGCCCAGCAGGCTCACTGAAACCATTCCTTTTCCCCTCAATTTCCACACTATTTTGAGGTAAGAATTCCAAGTCCCATTTAGAATCATGGAATGGTTTGGGTTGGAAGTGACCTTTAAAGGTCATCTAGTCCAACTCCCCTGCAATAGGCAGGGACACCTTCAACTAGATCAGGTTGCTCAGAGCCCCGTCCAACCTGACTTTGAATGTTTCCATGGATGGGGCATCTACCACCTCTCTGGGCAACCTGTGCCAGTGTTTCACCGCTCTCATCATAAAAAATTTCGTCCTTATGTCTAGTTTGAATTTACCCTTTTTTAAGTTTAAAACCATTATCCCTTGTCCTATCGCTTACAGGCCCTATTAAAAAGTCTGTTCCCATCTTTCTTATAAGCCCCTTTTAAGTACAGAAAAGCCACACAGGTCTCCACGGAGCCTTCTCTTCTCCAGGCTAAACACCACCAATTTAAATCAATTCCAGCTAACAGATAGCGAATAAAAGGGAAGAGGAAGTGATGAAAGCACAAAAAAAGACTTAAAATAACAGGCAGGAGGTAGCACAGGGTTTCTCTGATACCAGGCTGGACCTAATCATTAAGATAAGCAACAAAACCAGCACATTTATGTTGGTATGGCTAACAATAAGGCAACAGTGTGCTGTAAAAATTTTTGAGTATACAGAAATCATCAACCATCAATTCCTACACAGTCCACAGAACTTTTAGTCACCTGAAATGTTTGCATAGCATTAAGATGCAATAAATCCACCTCTAAACAAAGTGATCACATGTATATATATAAAAGTGTAGTAGTTATAAGAGATCAAAGTTTTATATTTTTTAAAGTTAAAAACACTATAGAACCCGAGAGATTATAACTGAGGGTGTTATATTAAAGGTATATTAAAGAAAATTGTTTGAGATTGCAGGTGAAGAAAGGTGAGAACATACAAGCCATCATTCTCATGGTAGAAGGCTGTGAGCTTTTTAAAGAACTACTGGGAATCCTCAGTGAAGGATATGGTACAGTTGACATACCTTGAGTTTTCAGAACAAGGGAAGGCAACAACACAAGCCACTTCATCAAAGCTGATAGCTTGTTTTATCCAAGTAGAAGTCTATGCAGGGAGTACTTTTACATTTGTCTCACTGAATGAATCCTCCTACCCTAAAGAAATGGGCCAAAAATAATAAAGAGATTGTTTAGAGGAGTTACGTATGTTGTAGATAGTACAATTACCAAAAATTTTAGTAGTCTCTTTACGTATTGGGCTACCTCTGATGGCAGCTCCTTTAAAGACAATGAAGTTATAGCATACTGGCCTATTTAGTGAAAAAAAGAAAGTGGCTAAAACGTTGAGGGAGAAAGCAATGAGTTGTTCAACACTACACTGACAACTTGCCTAAAATCAGCAGCAGGTGACCTTCTCCAAATAACCCCAGTCAGGTAATAACTGTGCTAGAGGCAGAAGTCTGGTGTGTTATGCTGGTAAATCAGGAATGTCTCCATCCCAGCCAACGGTGTTAGACTGTTGGGAGATGAGACAAGCGCAGAACTACATCCTGCGGCCAGCTGAAGCAGAGAGGAACCTCAATATGAAGCTAAAACAGTATTTAGAAGATTAACACCATTTTTTCTCTCCAGGGACTTCAGCCTGTCCTACAGTGCTTGCAAAGGACATGTAAGACCTTCTTTCCCCTTCCTTCTACACAAATCTTCCCATGGCAAGTCCCAAAATACACGATACTCTATACTCTGCTGAGCCCTTCGGCTGTAAAAGATGACTTACATAGAATTTCTCTAATGCTCCTCTGGAGTATCTTTATAGCTACTGCTGTTTTTCAACAGGCTGCTTTAGCTTTCTTTTAAAAATCCTGTCAAATGGTAATGACAACAAATTCTCTGTTCCTCTCCTACTGCTCCCAAAAAGCCTTTTGGAGTTCTAGTTTAGAGAGATCACATGTGGGCCTTGGAATGGAAAAGGGTTGGCAGTAGGCAATCAACTTTTTCTCTTGACATAGAAAATTACCCTCTGCGAGGGCTATAATTTATTGACATGTCTTTCACTAACAGGTCTTATGGCACAAAGTTACATCCAGCCCTTCCCACACAGCCGTTCCCACCCATTGCACTTATTAACCAGAAAGCCTTCTAAATGTTATCTAGTAGCAAGAATTAAGCAGTTGTGTTTTGCAGATGATATTCCTTAGCTTGCTCTTTCATTTCCTCTTATTCAACATTATCACATTACATTCCCTCTTCTTATGTGCTTTTCCTCTTCAGAAAGCTCTTTAAACAGCTGCAAAGGGGGAGGGACCATTATGCTCACGAAACTCCACTTTGCAGCATGCTTCTGCCAGGTCCTACTGTCTGTCTGTTTCCAGGCATTTAATACCTCCAAGATTCAGGTTTGCTTTTACATCTCTTCCTTGTGCATCCCTGACAACAGAGCCTATTGCCAGCTGTCTTAATTGAAGAACAGTAATCCACCTCTTCTTGCTATTGCCATGAGGAATACGTACACCCTCTTTCTCTTTGTAGTGGGCTCCTTTTATTTTAACGGTAAGTGATCTTTTCTTTCAGATACAGTTTGCAGAACAGCGACAGCTTTTGGGGCTAGGAGGTAGGACTGTGATATAAGCTCTCAGACAATTTGTAACTATCACCTCAGTAGGTTGCAGACTTTAAGAGGATGCATGAAATTGATTATTTTAGTGTTGTTTCTGGCTCGTTCGGTATCAGCAAATCCACTACAATGGATATGGACAGACATAAGTTGGACATAAAATGACAGAACAGTAGGAGCTGACAATGATAATCACTAAATAATATCCCTTTAGATGCTCCCAGGATCATGTCTGATGGGAAAAGCAGGTATTGCGTGGAGAGTGAAAAAATAAAAAAATGGACCATGACATGAACCATAAATAAGACAGATCTCATCCCTCTACAATTATTGGCTCAAGTTCATATATTTTGCAAAGTTCATACTTTCTAATAGTTTGATTAATATGTAAATGGTGTAAATTAAGTTAAAATATGTAAATATATGCTTAAAAAAAAAAAAAAGGCAAATATACATTAAGAACATTTTCTTCAGTCCACCAGGATTTCTTGCACATGTTTTAGCCAACATGCACAGCCCGGCAGCGGCATGAAATAGTGCATTTACCGTGGGAGCTTCTTCACACGGAGGGACTCCACTGAAGTATTCAGAGTGAAACTGGCTGAAACTGAACTGAGAAAAAAAATCACATCTTTCCCATAATTGCCTATTCATCCCACAGTTGTTTTGTTTCTTCAGTCACTGAAAGGCAACTTTAGAAAACATCTGCTTTGTAACAAGTGAAGAGTGAGGGCCTACTTTATATTCTTAGATTACACACTTTTAAACCCATTAGTATTTCCTTTTTGTTTGCATTAATTGCAGTGTAGAAATTAAAATAGTCTTTAAAATACAGTAAATTCACCACTATTTCCATTGGAACAATACGCATTCCAAATTAGCGTGCATTGTTATATAAATCTTTTTACCCAAGAGTACACTGAGAAGTAACAACAACACGAAGTAATTTCAAAGATAATGAGATTGTCTTATTGCTGCTTCTTGCTTGCTCTTTACTAATTATAGATGAGAATTTGGTATATATATTATCCACATGAGTTATTTGGGAGAGAGGAAAAATGACAACATATACTACAATATATATTATTTCTAAACAAATGCTATTTCAACATTTATTAAAATAACTGAAGTCAGGGAAAGGAAGGAAACATGCCTTATGTTAAATTTTGCAATTTAGACAGTGATAACAGTGCACTTGCCTGTATTTGTCAACATTGCTCCTTATTCTGTTCTGTGGAAATCACTCCAACATAATTGTCATTACACTGAAAATAAACAACGTAACACAGGATGACTAGTTACTTCATTCTATATATTTAAATTAGACCATGTAAAAGGGAAAGTTTGCACAGGGGAGTGAATGAAGTCTGTGGTTTTGTTTCTTCTGCTGTGAAACTGGAAGCATCCTGATGCATTTTTTTTTTTTTAATGGTCATACTCCCGCAGAGAAAACAAACTTACTGCAGAATGTGTACTGCAAGTTACGTGGCAATTTGCTCTTCTTGTCATGGAGCAGATGTGTAGCATGTTCAGTGAAGCTAAAACAATTTCCATAGCTCAGGATCAACCCCAATGTGTTTTCTCTATTACAGCTTTCAGTACACAAAAATACTCCACCCCCGAATTAGGACTGCTTCATCATTCTTGTTAAAATCTTTTGTCTAAAAGCGTCAGTCTACCCTCTGCAACATTTCTGGTGGTTACTGCTATTTGGAAAAAAAACAATTTGTAAGGGAAACAGTGCACTTCCATTTCTTCCAACTCTGAGAGGAAAAGGAGGAGTTTCAAATGCATGGCTACTGACATAATGAAAAGCACATAAAGATGAACTTGAATGCCTGGTAATTTTGTTCTCATTAGGTGCCATCTGGTTAATATGTAGATTGGTAATGGAAAATAGATTATAAAAACTATACAAGAATCATTCATTTTTACTCGTTATTTACAGAGAGATTGGATTTAGCAACCTTTAAGGCAGTGCACTGCTGACATCTAGTGGTATTTGATACAGGCATCTTAGTGAGATGAGAGTAGCCCCTTCGATCTTTATTTCTGATGATTAAGTTATTTAAAGGTTGGGATGGGATGGCAATTTTATAAAGAATTATTCATTACAGAACCCCTTCCCTAATAACAGATAATAATTTCTTAAAGGGATTCATTATTTAACAAACCCTTTTTTATAATTAAGTCGTGGCCTGCCATTCATCTGCATAAAGTTTATTGACAGAGTCAGTACTTCGAAATCTGATCTGTTCTCATCAGACATGCAGACCTCACAGTACGTTTTGATTTGCAGACCAGACGACTATGATTGCTAAAACCAGGTTTCAGAGAATAGGATTATTACAGATTCAGAATTAGCTTTCTGCAAATATTCTGCAGTTCCTACTTCTTACTTGCTGTTTAGCAAATACTGCATATGCTAGAATATTTACAGAAAAAGATGGCAACACAGTGAAAAGATATTTAACAATTCAAACAAGAATTCACTGTCTTTGCTAGCAGCATTCAGTGACCACTGTATGAAACAAACGAAATGACAATTTATTTATATCTGAATTATAGCCATCTGTTTACCTCACTTACATATGCAACAGTGGAAATGTTTGTTAAAAAAAAAAACCATAACAACACAATAAAATAACCAAGATTCTCTCTTTAGCTACTACAAGGCTTCTCACCTATCCTTATAAACACAGAAGAATTCATTCCTAGAGTGCAGCCCCATTTTCTTCATAGTATAAAATTTAGCTCTATCTTGGTTGCAATACACAAGAAAAAACAGAATCTGGATCTTAGCGAGGATCAGCATAGCTCTAGACTGATAAGCCTTTGATTAGGCAGGCTTACATTGAGAATAAATGTAATATTGAAATATCACATGGTACTAGGGCTTTAATGACTTGCGGGGAGGTACAAAGCAAGTGTGACGCAAAAAACAAACCGACCTGACAAACACAGATGTATTCACCCAAATTAGTTTTCCCACGTGGCTTGGGAAGTATTTGAGAAGCCTATTCTGAAGAACAATGTTATGGTTAAGTATATGTGACAAAATTTGTTCTACCAATGCCATAGCATATGCTGGTCTTAAAAGAATTAAAACAAGCCTGGTGTTTATCTCAACTTTTCCCCAGAGCTTGAGCAAAAGCTGTTCTTAGATGTGAAAAATCTGTTTGACGATGTTTCCTTTTATGTCTCTCCACTTTCTTACTGGATCAGAAACAAGAAGTTCTTATAGTATTTTTTTAATCTCAGTGGAATTCAGAAGTACCAAGTTTCAAGACAGACTTGTTCCCCCTAGCAACTTACAGCCCAGTTCACATGGAAACTAGGCACCTTCTAGAAATGCACACAAACTTTGGCTGCTTATGTGATCCTGGCGCCTTTTGATGTCTGCCTTTCTCTGGATCTCATGGATATGCTACAATATAAAAAAACAGAAAAAATTAATGTACCACAAATTTAAAACACTTGCGTGGCCAGTGGTTTTTACTGTGTGGAACTGTTCTGGGGAATAATGAAGCAAGTATGCTGTAGGGACACTATCCTCATTTCTGCAATATCTAGGGTTGATTTGGATGCCCTTTCCTATGGAAGAATTGTTCTATCAGATTAGAATCTATTTTCATTAACACCTGTGTCCATCACCATCAGCTGTATAACACAACACAGAATTACTCGACATACAGCAGAATCTCTCTGAGTCAATTCTGTTGGCAGGATGTTACCAGGACATTAGTCATCAGTATTATTATGTAGCCAATAGCAGTTTGAAAAGTCCACTAGAATGGCTTTAAAAAGCACATGCAAGAACATGGGAACACATCCAGTTACCTCTGGGGTTGTGCCATAAGCTGTTGTGCTCCATGGAGGATGTTCAGGCTTCTTTGATAGTATCCTGCAGATACTATATTTTGCAGTCACTGAACTCCAGCTTTGGCCATCTAAGATTCACAGTATTTGTGCTAGTCCATAAATCAGGTTTCATTTCCACATAAAATAAGGCTTACATATTGCCTCAGGTTTTCAAATAAAATCGTTTTGAAACAGAAGCATCACTAGCTACCAAAGAACTCCCAATCATTAAAAAACCCTTATGACTCCTGCAGCTCATCCCCTGGTTTTCCCTACCCAGATCAGTCTTTCCCTACACAGATCAGTCTTCCAATTTGTACGTATGCCTGCAACTCTCTCTCTCCTACGACGCTAAAGAGAGAAGTCACAGCCAGACTCCCTGCATTTGGATTGTTGAAACATTCTTCTTCTGTTATTAAGAGGGTGGTTTGCTCCCAGTTTCTATTTCTGAATGTACTCCCAAAAGTATCTATCAATTTGAGTGTCACATTTTACTGTGAAAAAAACCCGAAGAGTTCTGATTTATCTGCTTTGATCTATGCTCTGTGACAGACAGTCAACTTCAGCAGAACAGATATTGGTGCAAGCACCATATACTTCTGTTCACACAAGCCTACAGTCTTTAGGAAAATCAAAAGCCCTCATTATTTCATGAAGACAATCTGATGCACAGAAATTCTGTGATCCCTACATCATGTCACTTGGTCTCCCTTCTATAATCCTGTTATGTGATGTTTTACAGGAAGCACCGCAGCAGATGCTGAAGAAAAGCTAATGAACCACCTACTGAGTCCCGACAGGTACAATAAGTTAATTCGACCAGCTGTCAACTCATCCCAGTTGGTATCTATAGAACTGCAGGTTTCCCTGGCACAGCTCATCAGCGTGGTAAGTTCAAATTAGGTTATGCCTTTTCATTCATTACTATCTGCACAGCACTCTAAGAAGAAGTCCTATTGGTATTACTACATCTCTGTTATTTTCTAGTTTACATGATAACACTTAGTAGGCAGGGCCCATACACAGGATTTACTGTTTTTATACTTCAGAATGCAGCTACAACAGGGAGATCAGTCTATGCCTAAGCAATAAAGGACAGCAACCAGATCTTCATCCAATAAAATTCCATTGATCAAAAAATCAAAATCATTCCACTGATTTCAGTACAGCTACAGTAAGTTATACCAGGTCAGGATCTATCCTGGACTGTGTACACAATGCTAAACCATCTTCTGCTGCTTGCATCAAAGAAATGTGGCTGAATGGCCTGAAAACAAGCTACGAAGCCAGCTCAAAATCTCATGGCATATCAGGCATATCAGCAAAGAATAGTCAAATGTTGTAAAGAAAAAGACATGTTAGCTCCGGATGGAATAGCTTAACATGGTTAAAACAATCCTCATGTAAGCGACTCCTCATATTCAATAAAAATTACTTCAATGGGTCTGAAAGACATTTTCACTCACAAGGTTAGTGTATGTTTAACAGTTCTTCCAAGGTACAAATACACACCTCGATGCCAAGAGAGGTTTAGTATTGACGCAGTGGGAACAAGATCCAGCACATAAGTGGGAATAATTTCCTGAATCAGAGCTTTCAACCCTGCTGCTCTCTCCCTGGATGAAAAAGAGGATACAGACGACTGCCTCCCTGCCAGAATTTGTGTATGGGCCAGTGACTGGACTGCTGCAAACTTTAAGAGACTTATATAATTTATATCCTGAAATTCAAAAGGAAAAGAGAGAGACACTGATGGAACATAAGGGAAACTGTACAAACAGATGAGCTTTCATACACATGTGCAGGCTGATTTATACAGGATATACTGTCATGTATACCAGATCACTCTGGGACAAGTGCTCCCTCTCTCCTGTAGAATTCCACCTGGACAGAGACATGCATCCTCACGCAGTGCACTGCCACCACTAGTACAGTGTCCTCCCAGACTGCGGATTCTGGGCATAAAAAGCAAGGTATCTTGCCCCCACAGGCCCCAGCGATCAACAAGCTCAACAGAATAGATGAATGGGCAAGGATCAAGAATGGCACAGCTCAGTCCCCAGCCCTCTATATCCTCACTCTTCCAGCAGAAAGCAAAACTGGGCATCTTATAGGCTCTAACAATCTAACAAGCATCTTCAGTATTGGAGAATTAACTTGTTGTCCTGCAGAAATACTTCTGACTCTTTGACCTCCTACCTTGTCCCTTCAGTAGAGTCCCAGCCACACAGATCTGCTGCAGACAGATTTCTCTTCTGGACTGCTCCAGAGAGACAGCAGTACCACGAAGCAGAGACTGCCAGCTGAAAGCTTACATGACAAACCTTACATAGACCTCACACAAGTTAATCTAGGCCTTCCTAGTGGTCAAATGTGCCTTCTGTTTCAAATCAAATCCACAGGGCATGGGATGGGGGGAAACCAGCTTGGCAGGGTGGTGGTAATTGTTCCCAAATAGCCACACTCACTGCAGTCACAACTGTCCTTGTTAAAAGCCACTTGGGGTTCTATACTTGTGGGGTTACTATTTATTTGTGTGTGCACAAGACTGGCCATCTTACCAGCAGAGAAATGCCTGTCTTGAAATACACTAGATGAAATCATGCTGCGCAGTTGGAAATATCCTCAAAAGCCCACTGAATAAATCTTATTACTGCAATAAAGTGAAACATTTTAGAGGACAGCTTTTCTCTCTCTTTTTCCCTGCAGAATGAACGGGAGCAGATCATGACTACAAACGTCTGGTTGAACCAGGTAACGTAAGCCACAGAGGCATGCTCTTGCAAACCACAAACGTGACTGCTTTCATCCCATCACAGTGATTGTTTTGTTTGTGCTGGTCTGGATGCTCCCATCACTACTGTACAATTCTTCTCTTAGGAGTGGATTGATTATCGTTTGGCTTGGAAGCCCTCTGACTATGAAGGAATAAATAAGCTGAGAATACCTGCAAAACACATCTGGTTGCCAGACATTGTGCTTTACAATAAGTAAGTAAAACTTCTGTAGTTTATGCAGACAGTGAACAAAGTTTTAACTATGTATCAAGAAGCAAGCATCAGAACCAATGAAGTAGGTCAGACAAAATTCTACAACTGAATTTTGTAACTTTTAGCCAGTATCAAGTGTATCTGACTGGGGTATGGCCTCAAAGATAATTTTAGTAAAATCAGGGCTCTGGTTAAAGAAATTCTGGCAGACCTGGAGCGTATCTGCAGTGTGAGCTGTTACAACACCAGAGGATCCGTGACAAGGCTCACAACTGAGACACAGATCTGTATCAAACTAGACTATATGGAAAGCATGAATTGTAAGTAGAAGCACAGCCGTACACTGGTCATGTTTGCAAGAAGACAAGACATAGACAAGACATCTGGAATTCTATCGGACATCTTAGGTTCTGAGCCACATTTTTGTCTCCTACTTCTTCTCCCCCCACCCCTTCCACCACAGACTCCAGGACATAAATCTGTTACAAAGTTCACAAGTACCAGAACTCCATGAGTTAATATTCATTTACAAAACCAAATTATGTTCTATTTTCATAAAGCATTAAAAAAATCAATTATAAGAATAAATAATAAATCTGTCAACATTTGACCCTGTTGCTTTACAGTACTGAGAAAAATAAAAGCTTGGCGCTAGACCATACTTCAGTTCTTTCAAACAAAGAGCTAACTACCAATTTTGTTCTGTTAAGGTTTTTTTGTTTTTAAGTCTCTAGCAAAGCCCTGAAGTAGATGATATCAAGTCTTTGGGGAAAAAAAAATCAAAACTTATAATATCCTTTCATGATACTTTGAAAACCAATGAATTCATGAGCATATGACAGTTTATGAACATATACAGATGGGAAACCTAGGAAGTTTATATATAACTAAGTTAAGTCCCTGGAATCCTACTACTGGAAATCAGATTTGAGAAAGACTTAAAGCTATTGTATTAGTCACAAAATAATTCAGCCAGTGGATTAGGATGTACTCTGCCTGGTCAAATCTTGTTCTGGTAAATCGTGCCCCCGCCCTCTGCTTCTTTCTTCCTTATTCGCCAAACTATACCATTTAATGGATTGTAAGAATGGAAAGAAACAGTTTTACAAGGCTTCTTAAATGTAGAGGAACACGCTTTTAGCCTCACCATATTGGAGTCTTACATTAGTACAAGGCATCAAATTAAAATTTTAGATAAAGGACAACCCCCTGTAACTTTCTGCTGCTGAAGCAGTGTTCATAGGCATCAGCACTCAAGAAGGTGCTAAGGAAAACACAAAGAGCATCCCCATGCCTCACAGCTCTGTCCCTATGTAGGCTGTGCACAGGACTGCAGAGAGCACTGAGACAGCACCAGCAGCCCAGCCTCTGTCCCACAGCTGAGCCAGGGGCAGCCAGCAGAAGAACCTACATAGTCTCAGCCCAGGAGTCTACCCAGTACATTGTACAGTATAACGGTAAATCTAACTCAGGGAGATACAGACGTGAGAAATAAGATACAATTTCTTTACTAAAAAATAGGAATTTTATTGGCAATGAGCTAATGGCCCTTGTATGCTGTAGCCACTCGCTTCTGCATCTGGTTGTTTCGCTGCCTACATGGATTAGCTACAAGGGTCTCAGCTCAGTGGCAGGCACCAGGGTTCGCAACACCTAGGCCCTTCCAGAGCCAAATGTAACCCATCTGGACAACAGCTACACATGTGCCAAGCCTTGGATACTTGTAGCACTTCTCTGCTTAGAAAAAAAAATCAACCTTAGCACTGAAGTAGCTCTATTTTCCATGATGTCTTGTCAACAAGCAAGTGATTCATTAGATTTTTTGTTACCTTTTAAGGAGCACATTTCCACTCAAATAGAAGGGTGCTACTTAACTATAGTTGAACTTTGTTCGTTTACACTTGCAGTGAGTTTGGTCTTATATTTTTGCAGATAACATACTGTCTTTAGGTTACATGCATTTCTTTACATGGATATTTGTTTATCAAAAGGAAAGCATGTGGGATGTATCTAGTCCAGACTCTTCTCTGCAGTCCCAGTTTTTAATAAAAGCGATTGATTGACATAGGAACAAACCTTTGAGTTTCCTCATCTCTCAAGAAAGACAGTCACTAATAGTTGTTCCTTCCTACTGTTACGTTTTCCCTTGGTAGCCCGGTTGGCTGAGTTTGAAAGGTATTGCATAGCACACTTGAGAAGATGCAGTGAATACACTCAGAAACACTAAATTTCAATAATATTTACCAGCAATTGACCACTTCACAGTTCTACCTCAGGATACTTTCTAGGTTGAACAGCCCTAAGTTGTTTGCCCAGAAACACTGGACAGGAGTAGATATTGACTACTGACTGATAATGATCTTCTCCCTGAATTAAAGGGTCCATCAAAACATAGAAGACTCTCCCAGTGGAAGTTTGGCAGTTGGAGGAGATACAAAGCCAGGATTATTTGTGGGCCTTAAGAACACTGTGGCTTGTCTGCCCTGGTTTTGTAATAAGTAAACATTAACCGGAGTGACACAATAAATTATAAACCATATAATTACATTTCCTCTGCCTACAATCTCCCTGCATTTCTAACTAACACTGCTCATCCTTATTTCCTCGCCCAAGTCATTTAGGAGTGTTGCTGCGTGCTCTTAGCAGTGGCTGTGTTCCAGATCAAAGCTACCTCCATTTTCATGCTGGATGATCTCATTTTTACTCAGCCTTCAGAGACGTAGTAAGCCTTAATTACTTTAACAAACATTTACAAAATACTTTGAGTTCTTTGGATGAAATAGAGATGCATATTTATTATTTAATAATAATTTCATAAAATAATTTTTGTAAGTATTGGACCAAATATCAATTCTCTGACTGGGAGAAATGCGTACATGAATCTCCCTATCAAGTTATAGTTCCCTACAACATAGATTTCAAAATCAAAATATTACTAAACTTTGATGCTAGAAACAACTGAGGCCCACAAGACCAAGAATGTCAGAGTGCTTCTGTTTTGAGCTATGTTTTTCCTCTTAATGTTTTATTATCTTCTCTCCTTTTTCTTTCCTCTTGTTTCATTAGTGCGGATGGCACATATGAAGTTTCGCTATACACAAATGCAATTGTAAAGAATAATGGAAGCATTTGCTGGTTGCCACCAGCCATTTACAAGAGTGCCTGCAAGATTGAAGTTAAGCATTTCCCATTTGATCAACAAAACTGCACATTAAAGTTCCGGTCTTGGACATATGATCATACAGAAATTGATATGGTGCTTAAAACTTCCATGGCAAGCATGGACGACTTTACGCCAAGTGGAGAGTGGGACATCGTAGCCCTCCCAGGAAGAAGGACTGTAAATCCTTTGGACCCCAGTTATGTCGATGTGACATATGACTTCATTATTAAAAGGAAACCTCTCTTTTATACCATCAATCTTATCATTCCCTGTGTGCTAATTACATCCTTAGCCATCCTGGTGTTCTACTTGCCTTCGGACTGTGGTGAAAAAATGACCTTATGCATATCTGTGTTGCTTGCCTTGACTGTGTTCTTGCTGCTGATCTCCAAAATTGTCCCTCCAACATCTCTAGATGTTCCACTGATTGGGAAGTATCTCATGTTTACAATGGTACTAGTGACCTTCTCAATAGTGACCAGTGTCTGTGTACTCAATGTCCACCATAGATCTCCAAGTACTCACACTATGCCCCCTTGGGTAAAGCTGGTTTTCCTTGAAAGACTCCCAGCCTATCTGTTCATGAAGCGTCCAGAACATAATTCTCCACGGCAAAAGCTGTGCAACTGCAAAAAGACAAAAGCAGAAAATCCTTGTATGGACCCAGCTGACTTCTACAAGAACTCTACCTATTTTTTGAATACAGCCTCTGCCAAAAAATATGATATGAAAATCACTGAGACTCTTGACAATGTCAGCAGCCATCGAGATTTTAGGTTAAGAACAGGCATGAAATTTTCTCCTGAAGTCCAAGAAGCAATTGATGGAGTCAGTTTTATAGCAGAGCACATGAAAAGCGATGACAACGACCAGAGTGTAAGTAAAAATGAGAAATCATCCCGGTCTTTCCAAACTTCATCTCCTGCCCTCCTCTGTAACACGCTGTTCTTCAGAAAGCATGTTTGAACTCCCTAGCTATTCTAAAGTTTTTAGAGAGATTCTAGCTATAGCTTATAAGAGGAAATAATTTTTGCCGTTAAAAGAACTTAACGAACAGCAATTTGGTAAACGCCGATACTCTCCTGGAAAGTAACATGGCTATTTCTACAAAGAGAGAATGCCGATTGCCCAGTAAGTCATGATACACCCTTGAAAAAGCTGTGTTGTCACATTCGAGTAGTGTTTGGCAGGTGAAAAAAATAATATTCTGTTCCAGGTCAGAAAAAGAATATTTTTCCCCATTGTATTCAGTAAGACTATGACTTAACCCATGGCCAGGCCATGTTAACCAGAAACAACCTACCTGCAGCTCAAGCATTTATTTACCTAACTGGGCATAGAAGGAAGATTTAGTAAAATTGGTAAAATGCCTTTGCAAACACCCACTCCAGGCTAAGATATCTGTCCATATATGGCAAACTCAAGGGGTAGGATCAAAATCCTAATGCCAGCAGAGCTGACACTTCTTTCATTTGAGTTAAATCAGACTTGTTATTGGCTATGAGAAGTACTTTATCCAGGATGCGTTTAAGCAGTGCTGCTGCTGCCCTATTCACTTGCCCTACTTATGTGCTACTAGCTAACACACTAAAGCTGATACAAATACACTGTGAATAATGCTTGGAAAAACTCAGATGGTTCAGAGTTTTGTTTAGACATGCACCCATGGTTAGGAAAAATCATCCTCATACCTACCAGCGTCCTCTCTCTCACCCAGATCCCAGTCAGACTCTAGGTTCTCTATTCCTGTTGTGCTCTCCCTCCCTCAGCCAAGCAAATTAAATAAAGTCTGGTTCCTGATCTTGCAGAAGTCCCTTGAGGAGCATGCTGCTGAGTATTTCATGTTTTCCATTAGCTGAAATTACTGTCAATATAAATAAAGAATATCAGCTATTAACATTAGACATGAGCTTGTAAACATTGAAACTCACTGAACAGAAGCAGACTTCATAGAGCAGAAAAGAAGTTTTCTAATGGCTCAGAAATTCTTGCAAGAATGTGTTGCATACTAAAGGATCTACAAAGCCTCCGCTTGATATTAAGAACAATTTTCGAGGGTATTTTATGCAATAAAAATTAATTGAATACTTTTCACACAAGGTCCTCTGATATTACATATCACTTTCCTACATTTATAATTTTAATCTCTGCTTTCTTCCTTCATTATCACGGTCTGGTAACAACTGTTCATGTACATTTACTATAGTCTGATTTCAGAAGCACACAATTCCCATTAGCAGCAGTGGAAATTAAAAGTGTGCACTGAAGGAAAAATATGTAATGTTCTAATAGAAGACATGAGATAATTGACAAGCACGGTAAAGTCATTGAGGTGAGGATGTCCCATGTGTAACTAGAATCAATGAGAGAGGAAAAAATAATAATTCCTGAGATGTAAATGAAGATTGATATATTTCCCTTGCACAATAATAACCTGATAGTCACTTCAGTTTGAGAACAGAATCTAAGGCCATGACTTTCACAGACAACATATGCAAGGCAAAAAGGGATTTTAATAAAAGCAACAGTGTTAATATGCATTAAAACCCTTGATTAAGATGACTGCTGACAAGAAAAGAACTCTGAAGCTAACCTTGTTTAACAGCAGTAAACACCATCAATTTTTGTCCACTGAGATTAATAGCATCTGCAAACTAAAATTAAAGAAAAAAATTCCTTAACTGGATTACACTGTGGGTCCTTCCGGACTGGCTTCCACCAGGCAGCCACGCTCAGTACCCGATGCATCCAAGACAGCTAAGAAATATTTACAGTATTTTTCTCCACTGCCTAGAATGGTTGTAGAAGAAAAATCCCTTCCTAAGCCTAAAGTCAGTTTATTCCCTGAACCTTGAGATTTGTTTCCTTTTATTTTTTGTAAACAAAACCGCAGCATTAGCAAGAGGAAGAGAAAAAGAATATGACAAATTGCTAATATCTTTAATTGGCTTTTTCTTCTAGGTCATTGAAGATTGGAAGTATGTTGCCATGGTAGTGGACAGGCTGTTTCTCTGGATATTCGTCCTTGTTTGTGTCCTGGGGACTGTTGGATTATTTCTGCAGCCACTTTTTCAAAACCACACTGCTGCCATGAACCCTTAGTTGTCATTTAAAATTGTCAATATTTACATAGATGTTGGGTCTCATTCTGCTCTCAGTTCCTCTCTGTTAAATCCACAGAGATGCCAACTGAGTTGCTCTTACATCAGATTTAGAGTATGGGAATGGAAAGTAGAACTTGACTTGTTGTGATAGGGGAAAAAACCCCAAACAAACAGAAAACTATTATTTTTTCCAATGAGTTCAGTACTTCTGATGATATCTTCATCCTTTTTTCAATTATTTGAACTCTGAACATTACAGAGAAAGGAGTTTACTGTACAGTATGCCATCCTGGCTAACAAGGATTATTATTAAAAAAGTATTTTATATACGTTACCTCAGGAAGGACATTTTCTTTCCTTAGAATACTGCAATTTCCCTATTACAAAGAAGGTATTGCTATGACATTTATTTCTTTCAAATGCATCAAAACTATTTGTGTCTGATTTATAAAGAGCTTTACAGGTGGAATCACTGTTTAGCTATTTGAGTATGATATTTAAAACTGAACTGAGAAACAGAGACATACTTCTGAGGTAACCACTAATAGGATTCTCACCTTGCCACCTCTGATAGCTGATTGATCAACAGAGGCCAAATTAATATCAGATAAACAAACATTTATATACTCTGTTCAATGATGAAATATAAATAAAATGTAAAATTTTCCTTTATATAGATTCAGTCCTGAAATGTTCCTTCAACTTTAACAGCTCATGTAACTGGGATTCGTATACACTTTCATGAATCTAAGGGTAATAGCACCTAGAGAAGACAACTGTGAAAGGCAGCTAGAATGAGAAGAAGACACCTGAGAACAAACAGACCTGCATGTTCTGCTGGGGAGGTTTTAATGTGGATTTAAGTATAATCCTCAACAAATTAGCTAGGAAAGCACATAATGCACGTACAGTCTTTGGTAAAGGACAGATCAAGGCCCTAGACTCCCATCATAGGACAATCCCATCACACTTTGTTCCAGGTAGCTCGTAACCTGCAAAAAGAGAAGAGGGCTCCTACCATTTTTCAAGCTAAACCAATCTCAGCTTTTCCTTGGGGTGTTGTCAGAACATATAACAATTTTACCACCATTGGTAGATACAACTAATGACTGGTGACGAAACTTAAAATCCACTACTACTTGTGAAGGGGGTTTGAGGTTTACCTGTCCCAGGGGAGGATTAGCTGACACCTAAACCTGTGTTCTTCAACAAGCCACAGATGAAGACAGCTCCGGCTCTATTTGCCCTCATCAAAACTGAGCTACATCTCTACCAAGATCACCATTCCCAGGCAGCTACAGATAACTACATGCATTTAGAGATGCCAAAACCGCTAGACCAACTCCTTTCCAACTGTTCAGAGCAGCTCTGGGACTTTTGCTGATTCCTGTGTTCACTCCCTCCCTGCCCATGCACTGAACTCCCCAGCACTGCTGCCACACACAGTCCCCACCCCACACACCCACCCCCCGAACACCAGAAGGGCTCTCCAAAGGCCTGAGCACTGCAGCATGGCCTGGTGCGAGGCAGCCTAGGAAAGATACAATGAAAAACTATCAGAAGTGGGGTGGGCGAGGCTACGTGAGCAGCAGCAGCACCTCCCTTAGGTGGTATGCTAGAAGAAGGAATGGTTCTAACACTGACGTCCTCCCTTCCATTCCCCTTCCTCTATGCACTGTAACTGTGTCCATCGCTGAAGACAGGGCAGGAAGGTGAAGGTTGACTTTAGGACAGCCCTATTAATGCAGGCATGCCCTGTGACCATAGAAGCTGCCACATCCTCCTCTCGCAGAGGGTGGCGATGCTCTGGTCATCTCCCCAAACATTAACTGTTCCGGACATTTCCCATGGTGACTGGTGGGTGGTGTAAAGTTTAAATGGGTCAAACCTGCTTTCCCCGCCTCAAATGTCATTTCCTCCTTCTTAAACCTAGAGAGCAGAGCTATTTCTCTGCAGGCAACTGAAACAGCTGTGAGATGAGATGGGGCACAGGCAGCCCCCCGGGAGCAGAGGGGTGCCTTTGCCCTTGCAGGGAGATGCTCCTCTGTGTTAGGTTATATGCCAGGAGCTGCCGTGGCACAGACCATCACAAGCACATGTGCACACACCGCCCCAGCTGCTAAGCAGCTTTTTCTGCTTACAGAGAAGCCAGAGGGAAGCCAGAGCAGCTGCCAGCACTGCGCAGACAGTGTAAAGGTGCAGCCCCTTTAAATCCCATACCAACCTTGAACAGTGAATCTGAAAGAGGCAGCACAGACCTCAGCACAGACTTAAACGCTCTTGTGAGCTACTACACACCTCCGCAGGGCAAAAGGGAGAGGGACTCACCCAGCCAGGTAACCAAGGGTGCAGCAAGTCAGCTGCAGACCCTGCAGTCCACCCGACTGACGCTGGACCTGTGCAGAGCAGAGACCCCTCTTTCTGCTCTTTTCACCCAGCGCCAACAGATTTTTGGCTCTGTCCCGCTTTCACCATCCTACCAATCATTACTCCTGGTCCCTTCTTCTTATCCTACCCCTCACCGCCTGAATGCAACTGAAATGAGGCCTCCAGTACTCCCATCTCACAGTTGGCCTTATCTTTATGAGCAGTAACGACTGATAACGCTTGGCTCCCTAACTGCAGCCTTCAGCTGAATTATCCCCAGCATAGACAAAAGTTTTAGAAAGGATTTGGCAGCTCAGCTAGCAGCGAACACAGAGCACAGGCAGATGGAGGCCTCAGACTTGACAAACCCAGAAAAAAGCTTTCAGAAAGCACATCCCTGGCCCCAGGGAGATCCCTGCAGAACTAGAGCTCCGCATCCAGGAAATGGTGGGCTCTGGTGCTTTCCATACACTGTGGCCACCTTATTCCTTTTTTAATCACAAGTGAAGCAATATGCGCTTCCCTAGTAAGTTATGTTCTTGGAAACCACCACTGTATTTTTTAAAGTTTCCAGAAATAATTCAATCCATAGCAAACTTCAGAATGGAAAATTTCACTCAAATTCCTAAAATTTTGAAAAATCTGACCTCCTGAAACTGTGGCTTCAAAATGAGAAATGTTATTTTTGCCTAACCCTCAGCAGCTCCACCTACATAATACATAGAAGTGTTTCCAGTTTAACTTGTCAAAAAATTGTAGGGGTTTCCGCTTTGATTTTTTGGCAAATTTTCAAAAATAAAACATTTCTGGAGAAAAGGAAACATTAAAAATGTCATCTTGCAGACTAATATGAATATGATAAGATTCCAGTTCATCAAACAAAATAAGCTTCAACATTTCTACTTTTCAGGATTTTTACAGTAATGTTTTTCATTAAAGAGAAGAAAAGTGGTCATTCAAAATGTATTTTTCACTAAAACTGTTTTTCAATGGCAGTGTGAAACCAGCCTTTGCTTCCCTACTAGTAAGGAAAAGCCCCTGTTGGCTCCATCCCTGTTCCCTACCATTACAAAACTCTCTAACCCTGACCAATCCTGTCTTCCATCAGAACACGTAGAAGTGCACCATCACACACATGTACCATCTGCCTCCAAGTGAGTCTATTTGGGGCTGTTTCTGCACCTCTGCAAGCACAGCAAACTAGAAAGACCAGCAGTGTCGGCTTTTTATAGAGGGAGCATCAATACCCCAGACAAACGTGGGAAAATATTCTTTTCCTCATCGCCTGAGTTGATTAAGATTTGATCTTAACAAATCTTAACAAAGCAAAACACCTCTAAAAGTGGCATGTTTATTAAAAAGCAAAGGCTACGTAGTTTGTTACTGCAGATCTTCCTGGGCAGATCAGCTTCCCCCTACCCGTACAAATTCTTCTTCTATGTAGTTCTGCAATGCAGTCATGGTGACGTGTTCTTATCACATCACTCTCCCTAGCCATAAAAATAATCCTACCACAAACCTGAGCTGATTTCACCAGGAGCTCCAGCATGTGATGTTAGAAACAAAGTATCTGTGCACACAAACGCCACTGAAAATCTCAGTAACGAAGCAAATTAAGCTAAAATACCTGTATCTCTTGATGCAATGGCTCTTTGCTGCCTCTGCCGATCAGATGTTTCCAAATCATTCAGGCTTAAGCACTGACTTTTGGGGAACATGGGTTACAATCTGATCTTTGAAGCTTTAGCTCATTTCTAGTTGGGACTAAAAAGAAACAAACAAAAATCTTAGTTATAATGCTGCTTATGCATGGAAACCAAGAAGGCAGAAAGGGAAAACATCTAGTCTCAATGCCCTGGAAAGGCAAAAAGATTTTATCCACAAAGGGTTAAGCTAAAAGATCAAGTGACTGAGTTCTCTGGAAAAAAGAAATAAAATCAAATGGACAGTAAAGCCTATTTCCTCCAAGCTAATAGAATTACAGAAATTATCATAAGAGCATGTGTCTGGGGACGGAGTGAATGATGCTCTGAGAGAGAGAGCAAACAGGATAAACAAGCTCTGTGCCAAGAGCAGCTGAACCCAGCCTGGTGTTCTTTCTCCCAGTGCTACCTCTTAACACAGTGCCAAACGAGGTCATCATTTATCCTTCCCTAACAGCAGAGAGTGAAGCACCTATTGGGTGCAGACTCCTGTCCCATGGGGCTTCACTCCCGCCATTTCCAAAAACAAGGGTGGAATCCCACATTTTTCTCTCTCCTCCTCCTCCCTCCACACAGACTGCCCAGATGTGTGCAACAACCACCACATGCATGAGCCTGGCATCACCTGGTCGTTCAAAGGGGCGCAAAAACTGACATACAAGTTAATAAGAAAGCTGATGGGCAGCTGGGGAATGAGCCACTTTGCAAATCATGATTTTATGACTGAACTTCAAACACAACTCCCCATTCTCCCCCATCTCCTTCCCCCTGAACAATAAGGTTTTGTGGGATCAAGCTGGGATCCTATACTCTTATTCCCCTTTCCAAATTTCACCTTTCTAATCCATGAAAGCAGGAACAGTCCAAAGAAGTATTCTCAAGAGCTTTGGTCAAGTTTGGTCTCCAGGTCAAACCCCTGGCTCTTGCT